ATCGTCGATCCCCCAGAAAATATGCGAAAGTATGGGAAGTGGGGGGAAGACAGAAACCTAGAAAAATTCTGAAAATATGGGGAATCTGTTTGTTTGTGTGTATCTATGTGTGTGTCCCAGGGCCCCTTCAACATTGGCGATTCATGGCCTGAGTGTACGGCGCAAGAGACTCTGTGGAGCTCGCTCGAAGAAAGGGCTTGTGAAGAGGTGATAGCCCAGCTGAGACTCTTGAGCCTGCCCAGCACGCGCCGTCTCTCCTTCTCACTGTCATGCCCGGTGGAATGCCGATCTCTCTGTCATATTGATCCACGCTGGCGATACGCATCTTCCAATGCACCCGGTTACCGGGACTGCGTGTCGTCCCATACGCCTGCCCTCTGAGAGGACCGCCCCATAGGAGCTTGAATGCGGGTCGCGTCGCATCGCATCTCCTGGCGCGCGGAGCGCGCCAGGGGCGGCGCCAGGCGCCGCCAGGGGGACCCAGCGCAGATCCAAGAAATGCATTCGGAACTCCGTAAGTTTATGTTTTTTCCTGTTGTTGGTTTCTCTAGGGGACGGGGTCGAGAGGTCGGGGCGAGCGCGTGCAGCGGAGAAGTCGGAGTGGTCGAAGTCTGTGCCCACTTTACCCTTTCAGATATTGCCGTAGGGCGTCCAACCCTCCACGGGGGGGAGTAGCCATTGTTGCGGATGGGTCCTTATCGCGAGTGGATGGTGCGTCCTTCGGTCCGGGCCAGCCTTGGCATGTTCGTGCGCGCGCGCGTCCTCGTCTGTCCACGCAGTTCCAGGGACCTTGCATCCATAAATCAGAGCGTGAATTACCTACCCCGCTTTCGCTTCCAGGCAAAACCAAGTCATACCACGCGCCTCCTCGTCAAGCGGCCTGACCAGCACAGGCCGTAGTTTGGCATCGCTTGGTGTCTCTTGGAAGCGAGGGTGGTCAAAAGAGAGGTAGGGGTGTTTGCCCCCTAATAAACCTGATCCTTCCCTCTGATTTTGACTGTATACCCTTCCTTCGTTTTTGTCACCCTCCTGAGCCGTCGCCGCGTTCTCCCTCGACATTCGGCCTCCGGGGCCCGTCACCGGGCCCTGGGACCATCAAAAACGGATCCACGGTGAACAGGGATGCCCCCGCGAAGGGGTCGAGAGTTCTAGGGCCGCGGGTGCCATCACAACGCACGTCGTTGGATGCTTGGAGAGTGGCGGTATCGGTATCGTTCAGGGGCGGCTTGACCGACCTTCTCCAAACCGACCCCTTTTGTGGCGACACCGTCGCCTCGCTCCAAGGCGTGGACAGGCGGCCAAAGGAGGAGGGGGACTTCGAGGGTAGGAGCTCGTCACGGAAGGGGCTCGTCACGGACGGTGTCGGTTAGGCCGCGTCCGAGTTTTTCTTAGATGTCCGGCGGCATGACGTCTTGAAGACACCGTCACCCAGATCTCTCGACCCATTCCCCGGTGTTAGCTTTTAATTATGCGTTGTTGTTTTTTTTTGTTTCGCGGTCTGGGGCCCGAGACTGGTCTCTCTCCAGAGGTGCAAGATGGCAACACGTTGGCCGTCTAATTGTTTGGAGCCGCAGGACTCCTCCTCCTCCTCCTCCTCCTCCTCCTCCTCCTCCTCCTCCTCCTCGCTCCTCGCTCCTCGCTCCTCGCTCCTCGCTCCCCCTCCTCCTCCTCGTTCCCCCTCCTCCTCCTCCTCGTTCCTCCTCCTCCTCCTCCTCCTCCTCCTCCTCCTCCTCCTCCTTGGGTGGACTTGTCGGACAACGGGATGCAGATGATGAGGAACTTCCTCTTTGGGGTTTGCGGGCTGCGGGGCGACTTTACGCCCGAGTCTCGGGAGGATCAGTGCATCAAGCTCATTCGGGAGAAGGTGGGCGAGTCAAGGGTGTTGTGCCTCGTCTCGGGGGGCGTCGACAGTACGGTGTGCTGTGCGCTGCTGGCAAGAGCCCTCGGACCAGAGAGGGTAGTGGCCGCCCACATCGACAACGGGTTCATGCGCCTGCGGGAGTCCGAGCTCGTCGGCGAGTCCCTGAAGACTCTGGGGGTGCAGCTGAAGGTTTACAACTGCGAGACGGACTTCCTCGGAGGGACCACCGAGATCACCGACAGGAAGACCCAGCAGCGCTACAGGACCAGGCCCCTCAGCGAGACGTCTGCGCCAGAGGACAAGCGCAGGATCATAGGCGACACCTTCATGCACGTCTCTGAGAGGATCCAGAGGGAGCTGGGACTCGACCCCGACAACACGTTCCTCGCGCAGGGTACCCTTCGCCCAGACCTCATCGAGTCTGCGTCCTCTATGGCCAGCGGGAACGCCGACGCGATCAAGACGCACCACAACGACACCGAGCTGGTGCGGGCCCTGCGGGAGAAGGGGCGCGTCATCGAGCCCCTGATGGACTATCTGGTGGCCCTTGGCCCATCCCGCCGCCGCGCCTTTTCTGTATGTCAGAGGCCTCTCGGAAGCCTGTGGGTATCTCTTGGGAGACCTTTCGGACCTCTGATTTGGGCCTCTTGGGGGCCCCCCCTGACATATACCGGCACGAATTTTCAATCCGGTCGGGATGGCCGTGGCGACCTCCCCTGACATCCGCAGACCCGAGTTTCTCAATCCTCGACCCCAGAAGCCTCGACCGCTTCCCCAGGGGCAGTTCTTCCTCGCCGATGATGGCCCCCCGAGGGCCGACATCGAGGAGAAGCCGCTTGACATCTAGGGTTTAGCCTCTGTGGGTCTCTTGAGGACTGCGGCCTCGCCCCCGGCCTGAGGCCCCTCAGTCGTGCCTAAGGGCACGGTGGCGGATCACAAGGACGAGGTGCGCGAGCTGGGGATGAGCCTCGGCCTGCCCCGGGAGCTGGTCATGCGGCAGCCGTTCCCTGGCCCAGGCCTCGGCGTCAGGCCTCGCGCGCTGCGTACGGTGCCGTTTTTTTATACATGCTCCGCGTGCGGATCAGGTATGAAACATGCAGGGATTTAGTATCAAAAGCAACGATGAGTTCATGCATAACTTCATTCCTGAGTTAATCATGGATTAAACATCCTATATTTTCCAAAAAATCCCATGTATTAAAAACTGCCCTGTAATGGGGGGGGGAGGGCGATGCATGGGGGCGTGAAGAGAGGTGCACCTGTTGTGCCCAAGAGGTGCCCTCAGGTGACCCCCTGGGGCCCACAGGGGGGCACGACAGGCGCACGGCTCTCCACCCCCTTCGTCGCCCCCCCATGAAGTAACGCCCGAAGGCTGATCTGCGCGACGGAGCCCTTCGTAGGGGACGACTTTGCGCAGACCAGCGCCATGGTTCAGGACTCGACGGGGGAAGAATTGCATGAACGCCAGCTTTCGGAGGTCCGCGCAGACTTATTGGATCGGAGGTCCGGACACCCCTGGCGGCGTTCCCGGCGGCACGGCGCGCTGCGAAGATCGCGCGTCTTTCCTACGAGGATGTGTTTGTGCGGTTTCTTTTCCTCCAGGTCCGAGGTTGGGACTTCTCAATATCCATTACCTCCGCCTGGGAAGCTGATCTTCCTTGACCTTGGGTGGCGGTGGATATCGATATAATCCCCCCCCCTGGGGTCCAAACAAGTATCTATGTTAGCCAGCGTGGACCTCGAGCAGTGCCTCAGTTCACTGTTGATGTGCAAGTGTTATGGTGCAACCATGCGGTGCAAGCTATGTGGCGCAAGCTATGCGGTTTAAGCTATGTTGCGCAAGTTATGGGGTGCAATCCACTACGTGTTGCAAGATGCGTGGTTCAAGCTGTGTGGTCCAACCTATGTGGTGCAAGCTATGTGGAGTAAGCTTTGCAGTGCACTATACGTGGTGCAAGCTATTTGGTGTGAACTAAATTGTGCAAGTTCGAGGGTGCAATGTGTGTGGTGCAAGCTATATGGAGCAAACTATGTGGTGTATGCCATGTGGTGCAAGCTATGCGGTGCACCCTATGCTGTGGAATCTACGTCGTGCAAGCTATGTGTAGTGCGAGCTGTGTGGTGTGAGCTACGTAGTGCGAGCTATGTGGCGTAAACCACGTGGGCCTGCCGGGCCCGCAGATGGGCATGTCATTAAACAAGTGGGGCGCCGGCGGACGGGAGCAGGGCCGCCTAGCCCGCAGACTGGCCCAGCCAGTTCCTTGGAAGGCAAGTAGGAAACCCCAAATGCAAGCACATTTGGGGGAATATCAGCCGACGCCCCCACGGGGGCTCAAGGCATCGGCTCCCCCGGCGGCGGGCGTGGATAAATCCCCGCCTCGCACTGATCGAAGAAAAAAACATAAACGCAAGCTTTCGGAGCTCCGCGCGGACTCCTCAGATCGGCGCTGGACCCCCCTCTCTGGCGCTCGGAGCGCGCCAGGGGCGGCGCTGGGAGCGCGCCGCTGGGGTCCTGCGCCGATCTGAGAAGTCCGCGCATCCCATCGCCAGCGCAGACGTCCCCTGCCTCTAGCCGCCGACGCAAAAATGTTGATGCAGCCGCCCTGCCTCTTCCACCCCAGACCCCCGACGTCATGATTTTTTCATGACGTCGACCCCCAGAGGTCTCCACCCATCCCCCGGGACCGGTTGTTGGTCCTGAGTCGTTTTTCCACGGTCCCGAGGGCCGGTAGAGGCCCTCAGGGGCTAAAAACAATGAAAAACCTACCGTCATGACTTCTTCATGACCCGAGGGGGTCTGGGACGCAGGACATCGTGTCGCTCGAGCGGGTTCCGCCGGAGAGGGCGGAGTTTCGGGCCAGGGTTGAGCGCGCCTACGGAGGCGACGCCGCGAGGCTGCACCGCTCCGGCCTCGTGGCGGCGCTGCTGCCCTTCAAGACCGTGGGCGTGCAGGGCGACGGGCGGACGTACTCCTACCCGTGCGTCCTCAGCGGACACCAGCGGAGGAACCTGTGACGATATTGTTGCCCTTCCCTCGTCGCCGTGGCTGGATTCGCCTAGAAGTCTTGATCAGAGCGCACCCCTGGAGAGGTCCAGGGGGCAGCGAGGGGGGGGGGTCGGCACCCTCGTGTCCCCCCAGGGCCGGCCGAGCCTGACTGGGCACTGCTCCTCGAGTTCGCAAGGCTCGGCTACGCGCAGGTGGATGGCCCTCCACCGGAGTGGCCTTTCGGTGCGGGCCCACTGAAGCCCCCCTGGTCGCTGAACCCGACGCGACAGCAGCGGGTTGCGCGCTTGGGTTTGACTCCTCTGCGCCCCTCTGAAAGCAGCGCACCAGAGGTCGCTCCTGCCTGGGGTCACGCTGGCGTGTAGATGGAAGGCTGATCCCCAAAGTGTGCCACTGCGTCAACAGGGTGTGCTTCGCGTTCGGCGGGCCCGCGCCGGGCCCCTACAAGAGCATCACCCCGACGCTGCCTTGCAGGGCCGCGCTCGACCAGCTGCGCGCGGCGGACGATGTTGTGAACCGCGCGCTGATCCGGGCGGACCTGACGACGAAGCTGTCGCAGGTGCCCGTCGTGTCGTTCCCGGTGGACTTCTCGGCCGCGCCTGGCTCCACCACCACCTCCAAGAGGTCCATCGCGATTCGCACTTTCATCACGAACGACTTCATGACGGGCGTGCCTGCGCAGCCCGGCACCGACTACATGCCCACGCAGGTGCTGAGCGAAATGGTCAGGGGCATCCAGGAGGTTGAGGGCATCAGCAGGGTGGTGTACGATCTGACCTCCAAACCGCCTGGCACAACGGAATGGGAGTGAGCTCTCTCGCCGCGGTCGTGGAGGAGGATGAGGATGGGGATGAGGTGCCGACGGGGAGGAGACTGCGGCCGCTGTTGTAATTCATGGAGTACTAGGCACTAGGCAGTGGTGTGTCGGGCTCCGTAGGAGCACGCAGTAGCCCTGCCCATTGAAGGGCACGCGACGATCTCCGGACGGAGTTCGCTTTCGATGCGAGTCCACTTTCGATGCCGCCGGGCTGGCAGTGCTGCTCGGGCGCTCTGGGAGGGGAGTCAGCGCGGCGGCAATGGCGGGACCGGTGCAAGGCAGCGGCCGCCGCCGTTTTTACCTTTCGTAGGAGGCCCAGATGGGGGGATAGTCGTCGGGAAGCCCTGGCGGCGGACACGAGGGGGTCAGGATCAGGGAAGCGGGCTTCTTAGAAAGGTCCCTCCGCTCCGCTCCGCAAACAGATCCCCGACGGCGTGAGTTTCGTCGCAGCCTGAGCACCTCGAGGGCTCCACCCCTTCCACATGTCCGGCGTTTCATTCCGGCTTGTGCTTCGATCGGCTAGACGTGCGCCCGGGGGCCCGTGCCAGAGTGGCCTTGGGTGCAGGCCCGCATGGGTCCCCCCAGCGCTGGCCTGCGCTTAAAAGTCGCCCCTGCCCGGGGCCACTCGGGCGCGTAGCCGATTCGACGGTCCCAGGGCCCAGCACGGTTCCCCGGGGGCCGAAAACGACCGAAAGTGTTGCGTCGCATTTTCCGTCCACGACGCGGGGCGGTATGTCACAGAAGACGCACATGGCATGGCGTCCGAGGGCCCGACGCCCTGTGAGAGGCCGTCTGCCTCCTCGGGCGGCCGCCCGTCGGGTATCGCAAGAAGTGGTGGGGCGTCCTGGCTTGCCCGGAGGCCCAGCAGAGGATGGTCTGAGAACCTGCTGCGGTTCGCACGACATGGTCTTGGAGTATTTCTGGCCGAGACCGATCTGCTTTCATACATCGGCTCTGCTCCCCAAGCAGTGCTTGCACTGGGAGCTTCTCATTTCTGTTCTGCGCAATTGGGCTGGAGTGTCGCTTTGGCGTCTATGACATGTTGTGGAAGTCGCCGCCCCCGTCGCCGCTTCGTCGCCGCCCGTCGTCTGGGCCGGTGCGTCGCTCTGGCGGCTGCGTTGCCGCCGTCGCCGCCCCGTCGCTGCCTCGTCACCGCCACAGAGGTTGCTCCACATATACGGCGGGGGCACCGGTTAAGGAATGTGCCGAGGAGGTTTCAGACCCTGGAGAATTCTTTAGATGATGAGTTCGGTGGCGATACCCCTGGGCGGTACACGATTGGAGTTCCGCCGGCTTCCGGGCTCTGGATTCTTAATCCAATGCTTACTTATCTAATGCCCCCAGCTTACTGCACAGCATAGATTGCACCACGTAGACTGTAGATGATGACTCGTACGACGTAGAGTGCACAACATATTTTGTACAACATAGATTGCACCACATGGATTGCGCAACATGGATTGCACAATATAGAGCGTACCTCGTTTTTGGCAGTACAATGACTGCACAACACGTATTGCTCTACGTTGATTGCTCCACAAATTCACACAGATTTCACAACATACTTTGTACATAATACATTGCACCACATAGGTTGCGCCACTTACATTGCACCACCTATATTGCACAACACCGGTTGCACACCATTACTTGCACCACATATACAGCACTCCATGTATTGTATAACATAGATTGCACGCACAGGTCGCACCACGTATGTTGCACATCAAGCATTGCGCACCATCGGTTGCATTACATAGATTGTACCACACTTACTGCACAGCATATCTATATATATAAATATGTATATATATATATATATATATATTGCGCCACCGAAGTTGCCCCGCATAAATCACCTCACATATATTGCGCCAGATATACTTGTTCACAAATGTAGCACAACCTATACTGCACATCGTAAATTGCACTACGTAGATTGCACAACACGAATTGCACCACATAGTTTGTACCACCCTCCTTGCTCTACATAGATTGCGCTACCTAGATTGCTCCATACAGATAGCACCCTATAGATATGTATTGGTAGAAGTCTGTTTCGGGTCCACGCCACAGACAGAGATGCCGTGACGGTCGGTCCCTGCTCGAGGATCCGCCGCAGACACCTCGAAATTCTCGACGATCGCCCCCCATACAAGTTGTTCGTTTGGGTCGACGTTTTCGGGATCCCCGGGCGGGAGACGGCCCCCAGATGCCCAAGCATTGGAACATATCCGCGTGCCACCTCTCCTTACGATGCGATGTTTGCGATCCCGGCGGTTTCTCCTCGCTTTCGACTTCTGCATGGATCACTTGGACGGGCCCTGGGAACATCAAAAACGGATCTGGGGCCGGGGAGCTGGCCCCGGCAGAGGGATCGGGAGCTCGGGGGCCGCGGACAGGGAAATCCAGTCCTTGCGGATGCCTGGGAGCAGCCTCTCGCAGGCCCAGGGCTTTGGCAGAGACCGCGCGCCGCGCGAGTCTTCCGTCACGCCCCGAGGCCGGCGTGTTTCCCCTGTTTCGCTCGAGGCCAGACCCCGAGCCTCTCCGACCAACACTTCGAGCTGCGCCCAGCCGCGGCTGTCAAGGATACCCCAGGAGGCAACCATCACAGAGAAGCTCACCCCGCCCTCCTCATAGGGAGGGGGGTGGACAGGCTCAGTGGGGGATGCATCGACCCCGAATCGCCTATCCATCGCCGTGCGGGGCCCGATAGCCCACTCCGCCCAGGAAAGTCGGCTTCGCTGGCGGGGGGCCGATCGCCGATCTTTCGGCGCTGCTTCTCCATTCCAGGTCGACGTTCCCCTCCCCCCTCCCCTGAACTGCCCTCCCCTGAGCTGCCCCCCCTGCCCCTAAGCTGCCCCTCCTCCTCCTCCTCCTCCTCCTCCTCCTCCTCCTCCTCCTCCTCCTCATTGCCCCTCTCGCCTGGCACCCTCGTGCGCGCCGCCAGCAACCGTCAGATGGAGCTCCCGGCGACTGACTGTACGCATCAGGGGGGGCGAAAGGTCGCAGCAGAGAGAAAGCGATGATGGTGGCCACCACCACCAGAGAGGAGATCCTCCTCCTCCTCCTCTCTCCTCCTCCTCCTCCTCCTCCTCCTCCCCTCCTCTCCTCCTCCTCCTCCCTCCCCTCCTCCCCTCCTCCTCCTCCCCCTCTCTCCCTCCTCCTCCTCCTCTCCTCTTCTCCTCCTCCCTCCTCCTCCTCCTCCTCCTCCTCCTCCTCCTCCTCCTCCTCCTCCTCCTCTCTCCTCCTCTCCTCTCCTCCTCCTCCTCTCCCCTCTCCCTCCTCCTCCTCCCCTCCTCCTCCTCCTCCCCTCCTCCTCCTCCTCTGCCACCAGGGGTGCACCTCCAGGGAGGAGCTCCCACGGTGGCGGCAGCGGCGCCCCGCCTCCGAGGGCAGGCTCTCCACGAGCCGTGCTGCTGGCTCGTGCCCGACGGCGGGCCCCTCCTCGCGGCCCTCGGCTGCCCAGGAAACGCGGCGGCCTCGCCGCGGGGGAGGGGGAGGAAGGAGGAGGAGGAGGAGGAGGAGGAGGAGGAGGAGGAGGAGGAGGAGGAGGGAGGAGGAGGAGGAGGAGGAGGAGGAGGAGGAGGAGGAGGGGAGGAGGAGGATAGGGAGGAGGAGGAGGAGGAGGAGGAGGAGGAGGAGGAGGATGAGGAGGAGGAGGAGGAGGAGGAGGGAGGAGGGAGGGGGAGGAGGGAAGGAGGAGGAGGAGGAGAGGAGGAGGAGGAGGAGGAGGAGGAGGAGGAGGAGGAGGAGGAGGAGGAGGAGGAGGAGGAGGAGGAGGAGGAGGAGGAGTGGGAGGGGGGTGGGAGAGGGAGGGGGCAGCGGGGGAGGAGGGGTCGCTACTCGCGCAGGTGTCGCCCGTGTCGCTGCACACCCTGCGCCCTGCAGGAGCCACAGCGACAAGGGCGTCACCAGCACGCGAGCGGCGATTCTTTGTTTTTTGCACGGGGATTGTTTCGGTTTCCGGCCAGGCGGCGCCATGCGATTCGCACAAAACGATGGTTTTGTCCAGGCATCCAGCAATTATATGGAAGTCCGGCTGGAATAGTAGGAAAACAAGTCGGGGACAACCGGCCGCCCTGATTTCGCCGACCGACGCCGGAACGATATACGTCTTTGCTGGGAGCGCGCATGCACTGCGCTCCGCGCTGGAATTGCGACCCACTGCATGTGCGTCGGGTCCCTATATGGAGCGTTCCAGATAGGGCCTTGCCTTCGAAAATCGAAGGAGTTCTTGTCTCTTCCTGGGCGGAAGGCTGGCGGAAAGCGGCGGAAGTAAAACGGCGGCGGTTCCGCTGGCTGAAGCCGGCGGGAGCTCGGCAAAAGCCGGCGGGAGCAAACGTCGACCCCCCAAGAGATGACAACGTTTTTGGGTTCAGGGTTTCCGGAATCGGCCGTATGGGGAGCCTCGAGGCCCCCCATACGGCCGATTCAGCTGAAAGATCTTTCAGCTGGCGGGGCACTGGAAGCGTACATCGCGCCCCCGGCCAGACCTCCGGGAAGAGGGGCTTGCCGTGCTTTCTGTTGGAGGAGGGGCTCGGTGCTCCCTGCGCCTTCCCGCGGGCTTCTCCCCGGCGCTCGCGTGCGCCGGGGGCGCGAGGCCCAGACCCCCTCGAGTCACGAGAAAATCGCGACGGGAGGTTTTTCATTATTTTTGGCTTCTGGGGGCCCGTATACCGGCCCTCGGGACCGTCGGACGAAAAGCCGGTCCCGGGGAATGGGTCCAGACTTTTGGGGGTCGACGTCATGAAAAAATCATGACGTCGGGGGTTCGGAGGGGGGGCCCTCGCTCTCTTACCAATGCGGGCGGAGAACGATGCGACGTTGGCTTCTCTCCACCGCTGGGGACGACTGTCCCGAGGCGGCTGGAAAGTGTGCACCTGGGCCTGCCACCGAAGGGGTATCTGTCCAGCTTCGGCCACGTGCAGGGGGGAGTAGGGGGAGGCGGGAAGGCTTCTTAGAAGCACCCCTCCTTCGTAGAAGGCGCGGGCCTTGTCTGTAGATGTAAGGCCCGCGCCTTCAAGAAGCAGCCTCCTTCTATGAAGCCTTCCCCCCTCTCCCTACCCCCTACCAACCTCTGCGCGCCACCAAGAGCTGTCCAGCTGCCCTGGAACAGGCGTTCCCGATTGCGGAGCAGTTGTTTTTTTACCGCTATTCGCCCGCTGAGCTATTCACGGGCCCTTCTGGCAACACAGACCGCATCTCCGATCTGCAGGCGATGCATCTTCGATTCCAGTTTGATGCTCCCCCCCTTGAGCCAGGACGGCAGATTCGCGCCGCCTCGACGCGTTGGCGACGCCAGCGTGGGTCAAGGTTGAACGCCAGCGGCGGCCTGAATCAGAGCGATCTCTTTTGTCGGACAGCGACGTCGGTTCGGGATAAGACCAGATACGCGGTGTCAGGAACAACGGCCCGCGCCGTCAATGGAGAAACCAGCCGTCCCTGATCCCCTTCATGCCCCTCATTCCCCTCATTCCATTCGTCACCCCTGACCCCGACTGTACACAAGGCACGACCCCCTGTGGGCCAGCCGCTCTCTTGACGCCAGCCGCTCTCTTGACCGGGCCCTCGCGGGCACGCGGGCGACGTGCGAAAACAGTTTCTTCTCCTGGCATGGGCGGCGACGACGATGACGACGAGCGACGACCGAGTGCGACGACGTTCAACGACGGTGGTGGCGACGACCGACGACAACCGACAACCGAGTAAGACGGCGACTGACGACCGACGACGGCGGTGGCCATGATCGGCGACCGACGCGACGTCGTCGTCGGTCGTAGCCGTCGGACGTCGTCGTGGTCGTTTCTGGCGGGGACGGCGACGACGACGAGGTCGCGGCACAGCGCAGAACGGCGGTGGCGGCGACGTCGACGCGACGAGGACAACCGACGATGGACGCCCACACCGACGGCCGACCATCGACATTCGACGACGACGACGGCGGCGACGACAACACCTGCGGTGTCGGCGGCAATGGCGGACGACGACGACAACGGCGGCGGCGCTGGCGGCAACGACGGCGACAGCCGACGGCGGCGGCGACGTCGACCGGCGGACCACAGAGGACTGTTGACGGAGACGACGACGACCCACGTGGTGTCCCGCGGCCGCGGCAAGTCTCCCACATCGCCGTTCGCTGACTCACCGTGAGCGCGTCGACGAACTCGGCTCTGCTGGCTCTCCACACGAGGAGGAGGAGGAGGAGGAGGAGGAGGAGGAGGAGGAGGAGGAGGAGGAGGACGGGGAGGAGGAAGAGGGAGGAGGAGGAGGAGGAGGAGGAGGAGGAGGAGGCGCGGAGCGCGGCCGAGTCTGGGCGGGCGCGAAGCCGAGGTCTACCGTGTCCCGCCGCGGCCACGGCCGACGGCCGAGCGGTCCACCGACGGCCGGCCGCCGACGTTCTGCCGACGGCGACGACGACGACGACGACGACGACGACGACGACGACGACGACGACGACGACGACGGCGACGACGACGACGACGACGACGACGACGACGACGACGACGACGACTGGCGGTTGACACCGTGGCGCCGCGGCCGTAGCGCGCCCCTCGCCCGCGCGCCCCGGGCCGCGAGGTCGCCCTGCCCTGCCTGCTCCTGGCACTGCGAGCCGCCCGCGCCCTCCCGGGCGAGGCGGCGCCCTCCAGCAGCGCCGCCTCCGGCGGCGCCTCCGGCGGCCCCTCTAGCGGCCCCTCCGGCGGCCCGATCGGCGCCGCCTCCGGCGGCGCCTCCGGCGGCCTTCGGCGGCCTGCGGCGGCCAGTGCACAGAGCAGGGGGGGCGTCGGCGTCGGAGTCGTCGCCGTCGGCGCCGCCGCCGTCGTCGTCGTCGTCGTCGGGTCGGCGGCGAAGTCGTCGCCAGCGTCGGTCGCATCGTCGTCGGCGGCATTTTCGCCAGCCTCGCCGGTGCCGCCGCCGTGCTACCATGGATGACGCCGGCAGCGTACGAGCCTCGCATTCCACGGCAGCCTCATCAGCGCCGCCGCCGTCGCCCCTGTCGGCGTCGTCCGCGTCGCTGGCGCTCGTTGGCCTCGGCCTATTTGGAATAGTGGGCCTCCTTTGAGGCCCACCCTCGCATAGCTCTGGCGGGCTCGCCACTCGTTGCTTGCTCGTTCTATGCTTCGAGTATCGGCAAATTACAGAATCGCTTTACCCCAGAGAGACTTGAACCCATTCGAGCCACGTAGGATGGTCGTAGACTCTGCGTTTGATGTTTCGATCGAACCCCTGACCAGCATGGATGTTCCGTCGAGTCCAGGAGACATGTGTAGCACGTTCGTAGATCTACGAACCGTATACGTACTTTGCTGCAGACTCGACGAGAAAGCCAATCCTGTGGTGACTCAAGTCTGCAGTCGACCCCCTGCTCTAGGGCTGCGTCCCCAGACCCCCGACGTCATGATTTTTCCATTACGCGACCCCCAGAGGTCCGGACCTATTCGCCGGGACTGGTTTTGCATCCCGAGTCGTTCCTGGACGGTCCCGAGGGTACAGAAAGCCCCCCCGTCGTGCTTCTTGCAGGACCCGAGGGGGTCTGGGCAAGTCTGCAGTCGACCCCCCGCTCGGGTGCTGCCTCCTGCGTTGTGCAGCCCGCGCCCTCCGCAGGGCTGGGCGGCCGGCGGCGGCGCGGGCGAGGGCGGGGGCGGCGCGTGGGCGGCGCACTTCTGCGCCCTGCTCTTCCCCGGCTTTGCGGGGCCCGCCGCAGGCGGCGCTCCGCCGGCCGCGCCAGGAGGGGGGAAGAGATATCGGTGGCGCTGGTCAGGTGGAAGTCGGGCCTGTCCCTCTGCAGGGGGAACATCCAAGAACAGTCCAGAAGCAGTCTGGGGACGATTTTCTGACCACTGATGGAATATGTTTGGGTGCATTTGGGGGTATTAAGAATTGTTCGTCCAAAATCCGCCTGTAGGGGGACAGGCCCGACCTAAGGTTAGGTTGTAGGTCACGGAAGCTTCCGCTCGTCCAGAAGACGGAGTGTTGTTGTCGGCGAAAGTCGCCAAATTGCGCTCCGAAGCGCCGAATGGCTACGAACAACGCTCAGAAGCACCTAGCAGCGCCCAAACGGCGCCAAGTAGCGCCCAATGTCGCCATTCAGGGGTGAGAGGGGAAAATGCATCACGCCCGCTTTGCGCGCCATGGGAGCGCCATGGGGACGACCAAAAGCTTCTGTGAGTGGCTTTCTACCGCTAGAGCCGGCTCATCAGGAAAGAAATGGGCCTGCGATCAGGTGCCCCATGTAAAGATTTGATCCCCCGATGGCCCCAGGGACCCGCAGAAGTTCTGAAACGGGGCCGACTTCACCGAGGTTCGCGCGCAACCTGCCCGCGTCAGGTCGCGCGTAAGTGACCTCGTTTCTGGCGCAGAGTGCCGCGCTGGCGGCTCGCGTAAGCCGCGGCGTAAGAAAGATTATTGCCATGCCATCTCGTGCAGGTTCCCCACTTTTCGTCGCTCACATGGGGGCCCACAAAGATCGACCAAGAAAGTGCCCAAAGATCTCTAAGATCTAGATGTATTATCGTACATGTACCGGCTACCAATGACGCTACCCTTCCGTCGTAGGCAAGGCTGCATTCGCCTCGATAGAGGTCAAGACGTACCCCTGGGAGAGGTCCTTGGGAGTGGTGGTGTCGATACGCTTTTGTCCCCCAAGTGTCATTCGTCCTTCGTCCCTGGTTGTCGTCGCCGTAGACGGGTCGTCGTCGCCGTCGTCGTTCATCATTCGTCTTTCGTCGTCGTCGTCGTTCGTCGTCGTTGTCATCGTCGCCGTCGATCAATCTGTCGATGATCTATCGATCGAGCACCGATCGATCTATCGAGGGTAGAGGTTCGAGGAGAAGGTTTACCTGGTAGTTTGTGGCCATCCTTGGGTCTACAGCTGATGCCACAGCCCTCCCTCTTTGCATCCACCCGTCCGCTTTCACGCCAACATCTTCGGACTTCGGACTTCCTCCGTCGCGTTGGACTTCGGCTTCCTCTCGGGGTGCCCTCGCCGTCACGGCTGGATTGCCCTCGACATTCTGGACGCACCCCAGAGGAGAATTGAGGGGAACGAGGTTCGTAGAAAGGGGCCCCGGATTTCTGGCGTCTTGAGAAGTCTTGACGGAGGTGTTTCGCAGACGGCCTCCGTGGACCGTTGATGGGCTCGAGGCTTGATCGATCGAGGACCGATCGTTCGATCGAGGGTCGATGGTCGAGCTTCTTGCAGCTTTGAAGCGCCTGTGGCCCTGTGGCCCTTTGTGGAGCCCCCCGCGGCTGCCCGAGCCCTCCCCTTTTGCTTCCAGCTGTCCTCACCTCCCCCCCTCCTCCCTCCACTGCACCCCCTTCGTTGCCTCCCCTTTTCCCTCCCCCCTCGGCTGCACCTTCCCCCTCCTTGCAGGGCCCGCCTCTATCCGATCGATCGGGCTACAGGTCGAGTTCTGCCGGCTCGATCCGGTTCGACTTCGATACTCCGAAGATCCGATGCGGCCCGATGTTTGCATGGCACTGCTGTGCATCCTGGCGCGGCCGATCCGACTCGATTTTGACTCCGTACCGATACGCCACTATCCGACACAGATTCCGACTCGATCGGGTTTCTGGATTCGATGTTGATTGATCTTGCCCACTCCCCTTCCTGCCTTCCCCCACGACGTCGAAGATTTCGACGTGTTCTGATGTTTAGTACGGGGCCTCCTCGGCGGCTTTCGTGGCCAAGGCTGGACGCGGCTCGAAGAACCAGCCGGGATGGACCCCAGGAGATGCCCTGGCATTGACATAGAGCAGATTTCGTGGCCGGATGGCGAGACGACGTCGACGTCTTCGCTACGGAGGCGTCTGGGGCTTCGGGTCGCTCTGGCGTGGGTCGCCTCAAGGACTTCCTGAGATTTTCGCAGACCTCCGTCGAGGCCTCCGTCGGTTGTCGCCGTCGTCGACGTCGATGCCACCGAAGCCGCCACCGCAGTCGACGTCGCCGCCGCTGTTTCCGCCTCAACCGTCGTCGTCGACGCCGCCGCCGTCGTCGTTGTCGTCGTCGTCGTCCCATCATCACCGGTATCGTCGTCGCTGTGGCCGTTGTCGTCGCCGCAGCTATGCCTCATCTACTGCTGGTCACCCTCCCGCTCTCGCTTTCACCCGCACACCATTTTCCCTCCCCCCCTACGCTCACCCGGCGTGGTTCGAAGTGGGCATGTATTACTTCTGTATCGGCCTGCGGAGGCCTCAAACGCGTTTCCCCCGTTCCGCCCCAACCCTCCCCTTCCTTCTCCCCATTCGCCTCGTCCTCCTACTCCCAGCCCTCCTCGGTCTCCTTCTCCTTCTCGGCCTTGTCATCGTCCTCATCCTCCTTCGTCTCCCCAGTTACTCCACCTCCGCTTTCTTTTGTCACGTTCCTCGTCGGCCCCCCCCACCCAAGAGACGAGTAGGGTGACGAAGACGAGGATAAGGACGAGAAGGTGAACACGAAGAAAGAGCTGCAGCCGCAGCACAAGGAGTATGAGGAGAAGGAAAACGCGAAAGCGGAGGATCAGCATGGAGGCAGCGTGGGAGCAAGAAGAGCACGGGCAACAGTTGGACGGTGGGATGCGGCGGGGACTCGAAGCAGGAGGCAGGCGGAGGAAGAAGGACGACGACGGTGATGACGACGGCGGCGACGGCGGCGACGGCGACGGCAGCGACGGGGGCGACGGCGGCGACGGCGGCGACGGCGGCGGCCATGGCAACGGCGAGCGCGACGGGCACGACGGCGACAGCGACGACGGCGACCATGACGGCGACGGCGACGGCCGGCGGCGGCGACGCCCGCGTGCATCGGCCGCGCCCCCAGGGGCGGCGGGAGGCCAGGCGCGCCGGGACGTCCTGGCCGCACGGGCGCTGGCGCGCTGGCGGGGCGGCGCCGGCGCCAGCTCCAGGAGCGGTGGCGCCGTCGTGCGCCGCTCCGCCGCCGCCGCCGCCGCCGCCCGAAGCCTCGACGCCCGAGGACCCGGCGGCTGCCTCCACCGGGGGCGGCGGCGGCGAGCGACAGCGACGACCGACGACGACGGTTGCAGCGTGGGCGGCGACGACTGCAGCTGGGGCGACTACTGATTACGACGCGTTCTGCTTTTGCCGCGTCCGCCGTTCGTCGTCATCGTTTGCCGTCCGTCGCCGTCCGCCGCCAGCGCTGCCGTTGCCGCCGTTGCCGTCGTTGTCGCCGAGCAGCACTCGTCGTTCGTCGTCATCGTCCTCCGCCACTCGTCACCGTCGCTGGCGCTGCCGTGGTCGATGGATCGTTCAGGCATCGAGGTGCCTAGCCCGTTTTTGGCTTCGGGGGCCCTCCGGGCGGGTCTCCGCGGGCTTCCCGCGGGGGCCTCAGGAGGTTTCAGGAGGCCCTCGGGGGTCGACGTTGACCCCTCCCTGGCCGCCGCCGCTGTCGTCGTCGCTTTCGTCCTTCGTCTTTGTCGTCGCCGCACTCTGCGCCGCTCCTCCCTGCCTCCTTGCCCTCGCCCCCTGCTCCCTCCTCCGCGTGTTGCATCCAGGCGGACGAGCCCGCCTGCCTGGCGCCCTGCGGCAGGCGTCCCCGGCGGTGCAAACGCGAGCCCAGGGCCGAAGAGGTTGAAGAATGTGCCCAGGATGTCGCATGCCCTGGGGAATGTTTTGTCTGATGAGCGCGGTGGTGACATGTCCCGACCAATCCACGATTGGAGTTCCACCGTCCGTCTTGCAGACGCTAGATTTGGTCTCCAATGGTTCCTGGTCCCAATCCTTCACCGTATGGCACCGAACACGTGCCCGAGCTCGTGACCGAACACGCAACGTGGCCGAACGTGCACCCGAAACGGAACGCCGCATGGTCCTCGCAGCTCCTCCCATACCCGGACACGTTCGGACAACATCGGGCGCCCGTTTTGGCCGCACTCGGCCACGGCACCCCCTGATGGAGACAAGGTTGCCGTTTTTAATACATGCTCCGCGTGCGGATCATGTATTAAAAATGCAGGGAATTTGCACAAACAACAACGATGAGTTCATGCATCAATGTATCCATAAATTAGTCATGTATTAAAAACCCTATGTTTTTGTTTTAAAAAATATAAAAAAAAAAAAACATCCCATGTATTGAAAACTGCCCTGTACGCGCATCCGTGCTGCGCACGGAGCGCGCCAGACGGCCTGCGGAAGCCACCCGCGCGAGGCCGCCGCGCCGTCTCTCGTGCGAGAGGCGCGCCGCGCTCTGCGGCGCCCTCCCCGGCGTCGGAGGCCTCCGCCGGCCGAGGCAGCGCCTGCCGATCGCGAGCCGCGCCCCCCTGGAAGCCTGCCTTCTCCTCCTCCTCCTCCTCCTCCTCCTCCTCCTCCTCCTCCTCCTCCCCCTCCTCCTCCTCCTCCCCCTCCTCCTCCTCCTCGTGCTGCTGCGCCTGCGCCTGCCGACGCCGTCGACGTCTTCGCTGCCGCCGCCGCCGCCGCCGCAGCCGTCGTCGTCGTCGCCGTCGTCGCCGTCGCCGTCGTCGTCGCCGTCGTCCTCGCGCTTCGCGGGCGCCGTCCCTCTCGCCGGCGCCTGCCCTTCGTCCCCCGAGCTTCTCTGCCGCCCGACCGCCTGCCCTCGGGTCGGGCATGTCCTCCCACAGGCGGATCTTTTGGAAGGAAACTAAGCACAGCCAGAACAGAGTCAAGAATAATCAAACATGGTCGAAAAATCGTTCCCAGATGACGTCCTGGGTATTTCTGAACATTCCTCCTGTAGAGGGACGTGCCCGACTTAAGCTTACTGTGGAGGCGCTGGCTGTTCGCAGCGCTCACGCACCCCGTCTCCGCCCTCCTGCAGCAGCTCGCGCGGGAGGTGCTCGCCGCCCTGGTGGCCGCGCGCGAGGCGTTCGCCTGGCGCCGCGCCGCGCGCGCGAGGCCTCCGCCAGAGGCAACCTTAGGGGAGAATAGGCCCAGGGGAGGCGACCCCAGACATGATCGCGTCGTTAGAACATCAGGACGGCAAGTTTTTCAGTAGTTTCTGCCCTTGGGGGCTCTCGCCAGGCCCTGGGATCGTCAAACAACGACTCGGGATGGAACCACGGCCCCAGGGAAAGGGTTTGGATTTCTGGGAACGCGGTATTGAACAAATCAGGACGTCGCATGCCTGCGTCGGGTTCGGGGCTCGAGGCGTTCGTGTGTTTTTCAGCCTCGGGATGCGCTCCAGCAGCTGCGCCTCGCCGAGAGGCGTCCGGATGTGCCCTGATCGTCCCGAACGGCCGCCAGAGAGCCTAGGTATGGTCCGAAAACCAGAGAAGGCAATCCAGTGCCGTTTTTATACATGCTCCGCGTGCGGATCATGGATTAAACATGCAGGGATTGAGCATCAAAAGCAACGATGAGTTCATGCATGCATTTATTCATACATTCATCATGTACTACAATCCGATGTGTTTCAAAATCCCATGTATTGAAAACTCCCCTGTAGGGGGGATTGGGCTCAGGAGGGGACGCATCGACCCCCAGCCGCCCATCCCTCGCCGACATGGGGCCCGACGGCCCACCCCGCCCAGGAGCGGCGGGGACTCGCCACGGGGGGCGCCTCGCCGATCTGTCCACAAGGCATCGCCGACTCCAGCGGCACGCTCCCCGCCGGACCCAGTCCCCCCCCCCCCCCAGACCCCCTCGAGTTAGGAAGAAAAATCGCGACGGGAGGTTTTTCCTTAGTTTTGGCCTCCGAGGGGGCCCTTCCTGGCCCTCGGGACCGTCAACAAAGCGACTCGGGACGGAACACCGGTCCCGGGGGATGGGGTCCAGACCGCCGGGGGTCGACGTCATGAAAGATTCATGACGTCGGGGGTCTGGG